GCCGCAACCCCCCAATCAGCCCTACCCTGAGCGTGACTGAGGGTGGCATTGCAATCTCCCGATCCGCCCTGCTCTGTGCATGACAGGGGCGGCACACCAACTCCCCAGTCGGCCCTGCTCTGCCCCCGACCAGGGACTGCACCTAGGGATTGGGCCTGCCCTCTGCCACCCGGGAGCAGGCCTAAGCCAGCAGGTCGTTATCTCCCGAGGGGTCCCAGACTGCGAGAGGGCACAGGCCGGGCTGAGGGACCCACCTCCCCCCCGAGTGCACAAATTTTTGTGCACTGGGCCTCTAGTCTATTATAAAGATCAAGTGAACTATAATATGTAAAGTCTTAGCTCACAGAATAACTCATGTAAAGCCTGGGTGAGGCAGAAACAGTGAAATTACCCCGAATGAGCCCCTGACTTGTAGCACCATCACTAAGGAGGAAGTTGTCCTTCCTCAGCACCCCCAGGAACCGAGCCACGGGTTAGCTCTCCCCTCACCTTCTCTGCAGCTACTAAATTCTACCAGCCTTGCTCCCAAATAGTTCATTTCCTAAGTGATCCCACTTCTCCATCAACTGCTAAGTGAGAAAATAAACACTGAGACCTAGACATCAAGTTATAAATGGAAATGTCCCGTGTGTTCTGCTTTTAGTGTTTGACAGAGAAGCATGTACATTAGGCACTGGGGATTCACGTAACCTCTCGTTGAACAAATGTTTTGCATGGTGCATATAGCTCTCAATCTTAATACAGAACATCCACGAGGTCTAAGCTCTTACATATCTGATAATCTTGAACAGTCTGTAATTTGCCGTATGGGCCCCAAAGAGGAGCCCTAGTCAATTACAATGCTTTGTGCTCATGTCTATGTATTTGAAAGACTGAATTACCCAGTATCATAGCTGGAAAACACTGAAAATGGAAACTCTTCCTATTTGCCAATTACAAATCAAATCCAAGTAATGCTACTCGAGTCTATGCAACCACACCATTAGCCCCCCTGCACAGCAACCAACTGGCTCCTGGGAAAGGGCTGTGGTCTCTTCCCTGGTTTTCTCATTCTTGCGGGGGCAGATTTCAGTCAGTCCATCCAAAGACAGCCTTCCAGGGGCAGAGCTGCAGACAGCAAACCCAGGGTGCAGCTCTTTGTTGCTTCCTCCAAAGTTTTTCTTTACCAATGGCTCCTACCCTTGAACATTTATCCAGTTTCAATCACTGGTCCCAAAACTAAAGCTAATCAACCAGTAACTATGTAAAAATAAAACCATGTATGTGTGAAAATTATACTTTTCCAGAGAATGAAGAAGCACCTGGCTTAAAGAAATTTAAACTAATGGTGAGTGAACAATGAAGCCACACCACGAAGGCTGCGTACTTTACAATGGCTGACCGGTCTAGACAGAGTTTGTGCTCCAGTTCTGAAACACAAAACAGAGAGTGCCAGGGGCTTTAGCGGATCATCACCACCAAAAATATGTGACACCTGACACAGAGGTTCCCTGCACAGTCAGCCAAAGAATGAAAAAAACATACAGCAGGGTGGACATCAAGTAAACACAAGGTCCTTCCCTCCACCTTCTTCAAAGGGCTGCTTTTGAGAGCACAAAAGCAGTGAATTCACCGGAAACCTGAGCCACAAATAAGTAAGGCATGCTGAGATCACATAATTCTGCCCGAGAGCCCCCAAAGTCAGAGGTATTTGAACAACCTGCTTTAGAATGGAGTTTAACTTGTGTCAATTATGCTCTTTCACACTCTAATTCCACCACTCCAAAGGAGGAAATAGTACATCACACACACACACACACACACACACTGCCACGGTGGGGAGAAAAGAAACTACTTACTTTTCTTCTTAAATAGCTTAATGAAAGACTTGATCTTTGCATTAATGAAGACCACCATCTCCAGGATGCCTACATAGGGCTTAGAAATCTAAGTCCCATTCAAAGCTCAGTCCAGCAGGCAGGTGGCAAGCTGCATCCCTTCGCTCCGATTCACTTCTTGCTCTGTTCTCCTATCGTTAGACATCTGCCCAGGCTGATGTAACTTGGAGGTTGAGCTTATTGTCAGGCAGTTACAAACCATTAACAGTCCTTGAACCTGAAAATCTCCCACTGAAACCTAATCTTCAGGGCTGAGAGCCTCCAGTGACAACATGTGCAGAAAGAGAAAGCCAATCAGTTCTCATTTGCATGATAGCCACAGCAGTCTTTCTGCCTCTGGGCTCATTTATTCCGTTTTCTCTCCAGCAGATCAGAAGTTTCTCC